GGGTAAAGAAGGGAACAAGTGGCAGCAGCAGCAGCAGCACTATCACTGGGGCTTTGGAGCTGTCCAAAAGCAGAAGCTCTGGCTAGATCCTTCCTGCATGGAAAACTCATGTGCTACGAAGGCAAAGTGGGTGGGGAGTGCACTGAGGTCACAGTACTCCTTCTGGATCCACCCCATGAGTAATTAACATCACCACAGAACTGTCCATGAGTTAAGATTTGTGCAGTGCAAGGCGTGTAAAGTCAGCCCCTGGTGGGGTAGCAGAAGCCACCTCTTGAGAAAGTTTAGCATTCACACTGCCTAGTAAAGAAGCTTGATTGCATGGGAGAAAGCAGTTTTTAAAAATAAAATCTGGTTTTATTAAAAAAAAAGCAAATAGAAAACTAAGAATACTTCTCTCACTTGGCTGGCAATGCAAAGATAAGGACTTTATTAGAAGCAAAATTCAACTGTACACAGGCAATGGAATCTTCTACTTGTTACATTCCACTCCCGTGAAAGAGCTTATTAAACCCTTGGGTGCTCTCCAATGATCCAGTCAAGCAATCCTTGCTTGACTCATGGCAGGCTGTTTTAAGAAATATGACTAGTACCTGAACATGATAAAAAAGGTCTTATTTTATGAGTTTTCATAGCTGAAGGCTTAGCATATTGGCTTCATAAGTGAAAGGCCGTGAGTTCAAATCTTCCTGGCACTATATGAACAGACTGTTGTTGAAAAAAATCACAGTTCTTGTCATTTATATAAGCAATCCAATTGCCTATGGTGATGTCCTAGTGACGCATGCTTTATTTATCCAAAACGTTGGCCGTGTATAGTGGCAACCTTACTAAGCTGCTGTGCTGAACAGGATCAAAAATAACATAAGTGGGATTCAAATCCATACAAAGACATGTTCATTAATACTTGAACACAATACTTTACTCACTCAGTAATTCCAGCTGCCATTTCAATGGTTGCAAAAACAAGTTTAGAAAAACACTGACATACTGCAATGCTGTGGTTCATATTTGCAGTTTAGAGCCTTAGCAAATTTCTGTATGCTCTCGCTGACTGGAAATGACTTCTGAGGATGGGTTTTCAGGTATTAGAGAAACATTCTTATAAACTAGCAGTTGCAAGGTCAGATCTCATGACAGCATGGGAAACCACTACATTCAGTTGGCTGTTTAAGCAAATTGACAGCTGGCGGCAGTGTGTTTTAATGAAACTTGCTTTGTTTTTCCAAAGTACAGATAGTGCATAGTCACCACCTCTTCTCTATGAAACAAGATAAAGGAACTATTTGGAACTCAAACCATACAGTTTTGATTTGCTGTCCTTGTCTATGTCTATGTCAATCTTTTAAAATGTAAAATAATGAATGTATTCAAGAGCTAAGCAAACATTTTGAGAATTAAATTCTGGGGCTAAGAGGTCTAAGGACTGGTTTTGTAAAGGGAGGGGTTTCAATTGAAGTAATTTGATTGCTTCATGCTGTGTGCATCACATTGGTTAGATAAAATCTGTGTACTTTACAGAAGTGCTGCCACCTAGCAGGCAGTGCAATAAAGAACAACGTTACCTTAAATCAGGGGTGGGCAATTATTTTATGCCACAGTTTCATGTGCAGGTCTTACTTGCTATCACATGTTAGGAAGAGTGACTAGAGTTAGGTCATCTGGAAGGGGAAAGTAATTCAGGAAGCTCTCTTGCTCTGGCATCAGAGTATAGGGATAAATGTGGAACTCAAGTCTAACAGTACTCTCATGGGCATTGCCCTTCCTCAGAAAGTACTGTCCTCTGTTTCAACATGTTGACTGTTGGTGGGAATGCACATATTAACAAAACCTGATTGAACCATCTTCAATATAGAGGGTAGCTCCCTCAGCTTAGAGGTGATGTAGTAGCTAATGCATTTACTTTAAGCTCAGACTCACATAGATACATGTCCATTAGGATGAAAAAAACCCATACACAACTCAATCAGTCTGCCATTCCAATTACTACACTTGAAAGGATGTTTTGTGAGCTCCCCCCCACCAACTCAGATTTATGGCCTTGCTTGATGCCGTGATGAAGCATGACCTCTGCATGTATCAGAGGGCAAATTTGGCAAAAGAAGTGGAAAAAAAACGGAACCGAAGCTTAAAGTTACTCTAAAGGGAAACAATTCTGCCTGTTTAGATTATAATTTACTATTGTCCGTACATTTCTATTAATAGACTATTTGTTGGAAAATAGCATCTTTGTTGTTTAAGCAAATACAGATTTCTGTTAAAGGGAACATGAAGATTTATTGACTCAAGAAGTAAATATTAACCAGCGGAAAGTTAACACCAATATTTACTTTGAGCGTCCCTAAATCCAAACATTTACAGCAAGTTAAAGCCACAGGGACCTGAACCTGAACTCTTCATTTGGACTTCTCTTCCCATTTGAGTGGAGTGGGATCAGGCCCGTTACTGGCAGTTTCTTGTATTCTGCCACCATCTTTGGAAATCTCTGCAACGCTTTCTATGGTGGCCGTGAATCTCTCAAGAGACACTAATTTATTTTTAAATGGACCTTCTAAAGGACTGACTGAATTAGAGGGATGTAAAACAGCTCACTGATCTCCAGCATTGCAGTCAGGAATCTGATCTGTATATTAAATAGATTGTTAGGAATCTGAATCAATTAAGAAAGGTAAGCAGGGAAGTTTAAGAATCCTTTTAATCAGTAGAGTGTAAAACACTCAATAAAAGGGGCATAAGCATTGTGCTGGTGGGGAACAGAGGCAGGGGAGGGGGAAGACTAAAATCCTCAAAGGGATTTCAGCATCTGACTCCCACTGCCTTCAATGGATTTACACTTAAGAACAAATTCTTAGAGGCATTTTGGCTTGTAACTTCTACGTGTGAAGATCTAGGGTGATGCGACTTAGAACCACTAGGTTGGAAGGACCTCAAAAGGTCATTTGCTTCAACCCCTATTGTTTGGTTTAACTGCCCAAGGCCACCCAGCAGCCAAATTAACAGGGGAAGCTCTCTCTCATAAGGATCATTCCTCTCCTTCACAACATGTGTGCATTTCAAATCAGTCATGCTCTGCATTTGTTGGGGTCTCCTGATTGGTGACAGATGGACTAATTGCCCTGATGTCAAAGGATATTAATATAAGCTGTTATGATGTGTTACATCTGCATGGTACTGTAGAGATATAAGTGTAGCAAAAACACTGCAACCTTAACTCTGTGTTTACTTCACAATTAGAGTGATTAGGTAATTTGCATCACTACAGGATGGTGTGGACACAACAGGCTGTCACAGCAAATACAGGCTCCTGAGCAGCAGTTCTCCTTCCCTTTTAAAGCAGCTAAAAGGTATGCTTGTCCATACTGTTAGGCACACAGGACAATAGGATTCTTGGCATAATCCGAGCCTGGAAGACCATTTTAGGACTGCTGCTGACT